GAAAACGGACCGATGACACACCAAGTGACTCGACTACTATGTCATCATTCTGCCGGTACGGTATAGACAGTCATATTTTGAAATTGAATTGGTTTTGTCTGTCATTTACAACGAGTGCGTGCTTAAATTTTATTCGGTTACATAATATTTTAATGATAGGCCTAACTACTGTGGCTACTGTCATAATTACATCTGATTGTTGAGGACAATATAGTAATAGAACGATAAAAACGTATTTGAAATTTAGGAAGTTATTAGTGTCAATGTTGCAGGCCAACATTTATATTCAGATATATTCAGTATTTATTTCACCAAATTAAGATAAATAGACAAATTGAAGTGAGGTGGGGAGACCAAAACATGAGCTATGCTCGTACAAAAAAGAAAAAGATAAAAAAATTTGGAATAAACGCCTCCCTCGAATAAAAGCTTGAGGCGTTTATTTTTTTCTCGAACAAACTTTATTTATGATCACGCAATAACATATTTTGACGTTAATCTGTGTTAACTTCCAAATTTACAGTGAAATTAAGGGGCGTTTATTTCAGTACCGTATGCTCGAATATGCGAAGCGGTGATTATAAATTTTTGGAGGCTTCAGTGCGGCGCCTATTCGAGAGCGGCGCTTATATGAAAAAAAATGACGTGGCGCTTTCCATGCCCTTTCCCATGTTAATTATCTCACGTATTCCCGTATTTCGGTAGTCCTATCATAGGTCTTAGTCGTCGTAAATTAACGTTTATAAAGAAATGCTCGTGTCTTCATCGTGTTATTTTTTCATTTTCGCACTGTATTGGATTTTGAAACCCTGTTTCTCAAAGTGTTTCATTACACACAGTGTAATACTCTCGATTAAGCGCCACAGCGATTATTCGAGAGCGCGCTTAACGAAAATAATCAGGTTTGGTGCGGTATTGTTGTAGTTCCACATTTACAGTGAAATTAAGGGGCGTTTATTTGTGCATATAAGTATCAATTTTACACCAAAAAAATAAAAAAATAAACTCCTCCTTCGAGTAAATGCCCCTTCAAAACCCTTCTCAATAATAAACGCCACAGGCCGTTTATTTGCATACTGTATTTAACCAGCACCAGTGTAATCTCCATTTTCAATCCATATCATTCATTCGAGGCTGAGAAAAACGATCATAAATACGCCAAATCCGATAGTTTGGGTGCTCAGGTTTGATCGATACAAACATCTTCGCAAATGACAATAGGAAATCTTTATATTCTACTGATTCTATTTGAGATAATTAACTTGTGGTTAATTTTAAACATTAATTCTCTAACTACGTGAACCAATCAAACTGGCAAACCATGCAGAAAAGAGTCTGCCCTATGAAATTGGATTAACCATAGATACTTCACAGGCTCCAGTTCTTTGTATTCGTGAATACAGACAATTAGATCATGTGCCATCCATGTGACGTTTCTTAATAAACTGTGTAATGACTTGAGTTTATCGAATTCCAAAGCTGTATCATAAATGTAATCTTAGCTTTAGTATGCTTTAGTATTACTTTTCGGCGTGTAATTACGTATTTTATCAAGGAGCCCAGAATTCATTGTTTGAAGAGACTTTTTCTTAAAATTTACAAGGTACAAGTAAATTTTTATTGCAAAAAAACTATTCGGGATAATCAAATTATCAATAGGATATATAAAAATTACAAAACAATGCTAAAATCAGTGGCCTCACGCTCGGGCGCGGACGGAGCGGAGCGCCTGTTCCCCCAGGCACGAGGGGTTATACATTGTCATAGGCGGATTCAAGGGGGGGGGGGGGGTGTAAAGCCCACAAATGTAAAAATCTACCACAAATGTAAAAATTACCACAATTGTGTCAAAACATTCCACCCGCAAATGTCAAAACTAACCGCAAATAACATGTCAACCACAAATGTAAAACTAACCACAAATGTAAAGAAAAAAACCGCCCACAAATGTAAAAATTGTTTAACCACAAATGTAGTAATATTTCACCTACAAATGTTAAAATTTCCATTTTTACCTTAAAAGTCATAACATGTCAATCATAAATGTAAACATTTTCCTAAGCACTTCAATCCTTAAAAAATATTGAAATACCCTGTAACTGGTAAAGCAGCTAAAGCACCAAGTTGCGCATTTTAGTAGAGCAGCTAATGCCCAAGTCATGCACTTAATTACCAAAGCATGAAACACAAAAACCTTCGATAGGGCCTATCTGTAGATTAAAAAAAGAAAGTTGTGTGCCAAGAGTTTCTGACGCCTACTATGGCCTCCTATTTGATTTAAAACCTCTCTAAAAGAAGGAAATCCATATATCTTGGCAACAGATAATCGTAGAGACTTAATTTTGGTCTCAAATTGTTTGGAACATACATGTTTCTATTTGCACTAATGCAATGTTTTGTCCAAAGGTGACCGGAAATAACAGGGAGCATACAATACAATATAAAATAATGAAATGAGAAACATTAAAACGTATCTGACCATAGATATTAGTTTTGTTTTATTAAAATAAGAAAAAAAAACGTTTCTTCTATAATCTATATCATAAGCCTGCAACTCTAATACCTTGTATTGATTGGTAAGGAGACAAATACGGTAATTAATAATTTTTGGTTTTTCCATTATCATATTATGACTGCATAAAATATCAAATTACACTGATTCTTACTCTTTTGACAAACATTTGTTAGGTTATTTCAAGTTATTTCAGTACATATGTTAGTTGGCCATACGTCATTATAGACATTTTGCTAGCCATAACCACATCACGGAAATCTTGGAATGCCGGCATGGTGTAAAACAGCTGAAAATATAATGCTTTAACCGTAACTAGATTTTATATGATGCTTCCTTCCAAAGACCTATGGATGTTTGACAGATGTTTTTACGGCTCCTGAGCCACAAAATCTGGAATGCAATTATTTATCTTTTTGTTTTTGTTTATATTCATTAATTTGTTACTTTGAGGTGGCATTTCTACAATACAAATTATTCACACTGAGGTTTCAAGTTATATCCGACAATTGTGACCCAAGACCACAAAAGGGCTGTAAACGTGTACTCTATCAAAATGTTTTTTAATTTAAATGAATAGCGTACATCATTACCTATATAATGAGGGCTCAATGACCTCAATCGGACGATTATAGGAAAAGTTAAGCTATTTTGAATTATATTTATTCTGTATAAACTGGCCTATAACGTTCTGAGAAAAGGCTTTAAAAATACTCAAGAAATGGAAGAAAAATCAAAGCAGCAGTCAAAAGCAACAACACAGTTTCCATTGAGCTATTGCGATTACCTTTTCTACGGTTGCTGGAAATAGGTTGGGGAACAGAAATTTTCTATTTTTGAGTCGATACCCCAGAGTTAATTAGTGATACCCCGTGGGAAATCGGATATACTGTACCTTTATAAAACTGAAGCATCCACGTAACTTATTATGGCATCCCCATTGTTCTGATGAACTTAGTAGACACATGGAGTGTTTTATTCATCAAGCCTTGTTAGAGACGATGTTTTAGGGTTGGTGGATGAAAAAGGGACAGAGTGGGTTTATGGGGGTCTGGATTTTTTTCTTATAAATTTATAAACATTTTAAAAATACCAAATTTTCAGAATTATGCAAGTATTTACAAGTAGAAATGATCAAGACTTCTATTGTTGCAAGCAACATTGTAGGTGGTAAGGATGTTATAAAGAGGGGAGAGGGAATTTTTATAAATGTAAAGAAAATAAATACTTACTGTCGTATTCAGTTTACATACATGTATATGTGGGCCTGGGGGATGGTGGTTGGGAAGTAAAGTCTTTCAAAACATTGAAGTCATTGATAAGATAAACTTATCAGTTTTTAAATTTCATTAAGCATATGTAATATAAATTACAATTTTTGCACAAAGCCAGGCATCAATGCCCTATCCCAACACGATCTCCGAGTCAATAATGATGCTCAGTGGTATGGTGTTCTTTCGCACCTCTTCAGACGCGAAAGAGAATGCCTCTTCAACAAGCTGCTTGAGCAAGACAATGATTCCGTGATTCTAAGTACCGGTTCCTCATTAAAATACTGGTAGATCAAATCAACTACTCTCTATCTTCGTTAAAATCAAAACATTTAGCGTTAATTATGCGTTCGCAATCCGTAATTGAATGCTAGAATGAACGTTGGCCTCTTCCTCTAAAGTTTCATCGCGGTCTTTCTTATCCTTTGGTCCTGTCTCTTATACACATCTAGATGTGTATAAGAGACAACTGTACATATAGAAACATGTACGGTATGCTCTGATCTACATGCTGGTTATCAGAGTTCAAAGGTCATAAACATAATTTCCAGTCACATTTTGTAGGCTTATACCAGTTCCGAAAGTTGGCCTATGTGTTGCCCAATTCACCACCAAAAGGACCCACTGGAAAGACCCAGTGACAATAAGTGTTAAGACTTTCGTGGGTTGTCCTTGGCGTGTATCACACTGAGGAAATCCAATCCAATCCACCAGTAACATTTCGAAATAAGTACTTTATATCTGGTTTATATGGATTTTAGACAGTGGTGACTCTTACAGGGGGAGGGGGGCTAATAAGCAAACGAAACGAGCGTCACGTTTGCGAGCGGAGCGAGCAAACAGACGCTGGGGTGCCAGGCACCACAAAAACCCCGGTCGGGGTCCCGGGTTGAAGGTTCCTGGTGGGGTCTGAGAGCTTATGGCATTTATGAACTGTTAATTGCGATGTTACAGAACATAGAATGGTCCATGAATGATGAAATATTTCAGACAATGACAAAACCAACATAGTACACTTTTAAACAACCCCTACTCTTTTCCGAAAAGTCTGCATATGAGCCATTTTGCACAAAGGACTAACAGACTAAACTTCTCAACCGAATGACAATGCACTTTTTAAATAGTCGCTACCACCAGTTTAACCGACTAAGCTAGCTGCTCTCAATAATATGTTATGCAGAAAGGTAAACACAAGAACATACAGGGTACAACAACAATTCAATTTTCAAATGTGTTTATTTGAAACAAATCGTAGCAATGCATGAATGTTTGTGTTTCTATCAGTGTCTATTTATTAGAATGTGACCAACAATTTAAATACATAAGCAGTACATAACCTTGATACAATAATAACTACTGTATATGTGGGCAGAAATTGAGATATTTTTTATAAACATGTGAACACAACGCAAGACAGTCATGGAATAATATTTTCTTAAATTATTAGTAAAAAGTGGATTAATATATATTTAACAATTGTGATACTGATATAGACAATTAATTTCATTTTCACGTCACACAAATTCTTGCATATTTGTCTTAATACTGTATTCGCCACATGGGTAATACCTAATAAATTCATGATTATTTTAATAACATTAAGATGTAGCCTATTTGATCAAAGTTTTAAAAGGGAGATATACACACTTTCACATTTCCTAACCTTCAGATTTTAAATGTCTATCTATCTATTACTACTTTGCCTGGTGTCTCTACATTAATCATACACAATGAGCCAAATAGAGACCAGTATCTCTTATCTGGAATATTTTTATGAAGGTAATGAGCCCCTATTCTAGTTCGCATCCTTTCTGTTCACTAATATTGCCAGCACACACTCGGCCGGGACTAGGTACACACAGATACTAATACCGTACAAGGATGTTTGAATTTCTATAGCATTATCTGGAGTTATTTTCGCAGGTTGAATAATAGGCAGCCACTTCCCACCGCAAATAAAGGCTAAGTAGGGGAAGGTTTTTTTTCCATTTGGTCTTATCATAGTTACTAGTATTTGTTTTCATTTGATATTTTAATCTCTAATTTAAATCTCTAATTATTTAATTGAAAAAAAAGTAAATTTAAGTGATTTCGTCATTTATATCGTAAAAACTGTACGGTACATCCCTAAGATAATTTACAGTGCCTGATGAAATGGTTAGACCAAAGCGACTAAGAATCATTAATTAATTTTTTAAAAGAGTGAAAAAAAAAGATGTTAAAACTTGGTTTTAATCAATGTCCATTGTCTCATTGAACTTTGACATGAGGTCATCGAGAGCTTTCTGCGATGAGCTGATGAGTTCTTTGTAGAGGTTAATTTTTTTCTGTGCTTCAGAAATTTCTTTGTCTCTGGTACTGAGTTTTTCTGTTGTTTGTTGGAGATCGGTAGTCTTTGTTTTGACAGCTTCTTCACTGGATGATAGACTATTTTTCAATGTACCTATAACACAAAAATATAAATGTAATCAACTACAGTGGAGATTGCATTTTTCTTTCATACACAATCATAATAACAAAGAATTTACTCAGCATTTGAAAAATTATGTCCAGGACAAGTATCTATCTCATTTGATATGCAAGAAAAAATATATATGCCTTCAGAAATATACTGTGTTGTGTTTACACATTTCAACAAATTTAATTTGTGAAGTATTACTGTATGCTCAATTTGTATACAGTATTTATGATTATTTGGTGACTGAACTCTAAATTTATTTTTCGGTGGAGATGAGCAAAAAAAAATCTTTCGTTATTATATTATTGTTATTTAATAATAAAAACAAGAAAATATTTTCCTTGGCTATTTACTGCAGAAATAATACCATTTTTGATTTCTTTATTTTTTTCTCTATTATCCTTTATTTCTTTTTTTTTTCTAATTTTTTTTGCAATTCAGTTTATTCTCCTATCTTCACTTTTACCTTTCTTTATATTGGACTTTCATATAATTTAAGAATCTGATTGTGGTAAAAACCTTTAAATCAAAGAAAATGTAATTGTTTTGATCTGTGTTTAATTAAACTTGACAACTCATTTGATCCTTTTCAATGAGAGATTCAATGTTTTAATTGAATGTATCAAGATTTTCTTTTTCAGATTTGATTAGCTAAGCCTTCCTCATCAGATGTGTCAGAACATACGGAATAAAACACAAATTATTACCAATCTTCTCCTGTAGCTGGGCAATCTTTTTGTCTGCAGCAACTGCAGTTCTATCACTTTTTTCTAGACGTTGCATAACGCTGTCAATGTCAACAATAGCGCCCCTATACATCACCAAACCAGCAGATGAGTCGGGCTCTGATTTTATTTTAGGCTTTGCACCATCACCTTGTAGATAATATCCATTGCCTACCAATAAAAAATGAAATTGAGAATTTATATTAGGGGAAAATCCAAAATGATTATGATTTCTGAAGTGAGTTTTAAAAACAGCAGAACAAGGGGAGGGGGAAAGGGAAACAGGAGACAAGGGAAGATAATAACAAGTGAAGGTGAACAAGGGCAGAGCTAGGTGAGGGGAACAAGAAGGTAATGCAGGGGAATTTAAGGAAAAAGATCCCTTATAACGCATCTTTTTGCCTAATTTCACTTGTCTCTGTTTCTTTGTCTGTCTTTTGTTTTTTGTTTTTTATGTTGATGTCTATCTACATGCTGTATTCTGTGTGGTATGGGATAGTTTTTTTCTGGAACTGATGTAGATCGGTTGGTCAAGATAATTAAAATTTGGAGGAAACTTTGCAACCTAAAAGATAGGCACACTATAAATTTCCCAGTAACAGTAACATTAAGGGGAGATGAACTCAAGGGGAGGAGAAACGAAGTTAACCGGACATAGAGGGAGAAGAAACAATAAACAGAGAAACATGAGTAGGGCAAAAAAGAGAAAGGACAAAGGATGAAAACAAGAAGTTAAAAAAAAGAAATAAAGAAGTACAGGGACAGCTGAACCATCAATAATCTATATATATAAATATCTATATTTTAGTACAGTAATGAAATTGGCAATTTTGACAGTCAACATGAAATACTGATTTCCCCACCCCTGGGGCCACCACTACCATTCTGTTAGTAATAAATAGCAGTTTGCTATCTACCAGTAAGTTTATATAGTATAATACATCAGTTAAAAATCAGTCAAAACAAACCTAATGCAAGGTGGTGATCTTCAAGGATTCCGTTGGCCTCTTCCTCTAAAGTTTCATCGCGGTCTTTCTTATCCTTTGGTCTATCCGTCAATTTCCTATAATTCCATGAGTCCCGTACTATCACTTTATTTAACAGCTTGCGTATCTATACATAAGTAATAATTTCAAATATAATTTGATTTTTGTCATCCATTTATCTAATGTGGAAGTGGTTTGGTGCAAAGGGAACGGTTTGGTTTAGAAAAATTTGAAGTCAAGGTTTCAATCACTCGCTGTGCATTTCGCTTGTGTCCTTGAGCAAGGCATTTTATCTGTATTAGTTCCCTCCACCCAGGAGTATAAGTGGGTACCTATGGAAGTTTGAATACAAAATGCACTGATATATTTTATGCAGCAAACTATTGAATTTTTCCAATGACATACATAACTTTACGTGGGCTGGTAATAAAAAAGAACAGCATATAAAAATACATTTCGTTTGCCCTACAGATAATGCAAGTCATACAGGTCTCTCTGTACCGACAAGCTCTGTCTCTGTGTTTTGTTCTGACCACTGTGATTCATGAATAACATTCTTTAATTTACAGGGATAATAAAAAGTTGGTGTACCAAAATACAGTGCTCATAAAAATATATTTCATTTGTTTACATTTTCAGGCTGTATATCAACATACCTGTGACCGTGATAGATTTAACCCCATCGTGTGCAAAATATCATCCAAGTCCTTTTCAAGGAGGTATCCACAGTGACTCTGATCAAAGTAAACACAGGCTAACAAAAGGTCAGGATTCACTGTTTCCATTTTAACTTTGTCTTTGTCTTTTTCCTTCTCCTTCTCCCGTCGACGAGAGGGTGAGCGACTCCTATCCTCTTTCTTGTCATCTTTCTTTTCATCTAAATATTTATTGACGTAAACATGAAAATTGTAGTTAAATCAAGAAGTCAGTGCATTAGAAAAAGATTACATGATGGGATTCATTTAAAAAATTTTATGATTGCTATACACCATATTTTGAAAGAGCACCATCAAGGTCTTTAAGCCATAGAGTTATAATAAAAATACTTGAGCGCTATTCTCCAACGCAAAGCTGAGTGTACACTAAACAAGATGGCTGGCGTAGATCCAGCCAATCAAAATACATCTAAGCAATTTAACATGAAAGTTTTGAGTACAACTAAGTTGTATTTTTAAAACTCGAGCCATCTTGTTGAGAGGTAAAGGTAGTCGAAACTGTGCTGGTCCGGAGTGCCCATCCCTCTTTCGTAAGTGCCGGGGGGCCAGAGGGGATCGCCACTCCTCCTTACAGCGAGTGTGTTTACATTGCCAGCATTATGCTGGTACCCATTCATACTCCTGGGTAGAGAGAGACAAACGCAGATAAAGTGTCTTGCCAAAGAACACAAGCGATCTGCACAGCGAGAGTTTCGAACCCTGACTAAGAGGTTGAGAGTCCGAGTCTCAACCACCGTGTTAAACACTTCCACATTATGAGAACACGTACACTACTCTTATCCTTTTATCTGTTTTGTAAAAAGCTATGATATCACTGATAAGAGCGCTCTATAAATGACTGCATTATCATTATTATTATGACTCGGCATTGCTTCATTAGCCTAGTTAGCACTCCAGTTGTTAATAGCTCTATGGCTGCATATCTGCAGTACACACATTCTTTTGCTAATTTCTGTACGTAAATAACTTTTTACAATGCAAGACTTGTTTTTAATATCAACATTTCGTTCTCTTTCCATTTTAAAACATTTGTGCTCATTAGTAATTTAGTATTATAGTACAGATAAACAGGTAAATAGGCCTAGCCTAGGCTTTAATAGGCCTAGCCTAGGCTTTAATAGGCCTAGCCTAGGCTTTAATAGGCCTAGCCTAGGCTTTAATAGGCCTAGCCTAGGCTTTAATAGGCCTAGCCTAGGCTTTAATAGGCCTAGCCTAGGCTTTAATAGGCCTAGCCTAGGCTTTAATAGGCCTAGCCTAGGCTTTAATAGGCCTAGCCTAGGCTTTAATAGGCCTAGCCTAGGCTTTAATAGGCCTAGCCTAGGCTTTAATAGGCCTAGCCTAGGCTTTAATAGGCCTAGCCTAGGCTTTAATAGGCCTAGCCTAGGCTTTAATATATGGTTGGGTCAAATTTGTGTGGTGGTTGAAAAATACAGGGGGAGTCTTTATGGCCCAAAATAGTGATTTCAGACTACATTGGTAATGTAATTTTCTTTGAAAAAATATCGTAGGCATAGGACCTAGCTACGTTACAGTATTTTCATTTTACAGTACGTGTTTGGAACGATATCGGAAGTGGGGGTGCTGGCAGTGGCCTGCTATTAGGACTACAATTTATTTGAAAATATCTTGGGTCCGATCGTCCACACCAGTTGGGCCCAATCGTCTATCACCCGAAGTTTTCATTACTATTATCAAGAACGTACACGATCTATGCCCTGGGCTAGGCTTAGCTTGCTGTCGTCACTCTGCTACGTATACTACACTACAACCGCATAACAAAGAAAGCGACCCACGTGGTGCATTCTTAAAT